GTATATATATATATATATATATTTTTTTTTTTTTTTTTTTTTTTTTTTAAATATTCTAGGTACCATCAGGAGGTTCACAAGAAATCATTTTGTTCACAAGGTCCCCCTTAGACCTGAAATCTAGATCTTTACTGGGACTAGATGAATGTTCTAACATCAATCTTACTGAGTTATAATACATAAAAGAAAATGTTCTCATTTTCAGTACAGCTGGTCCCCAAAATATGATGGTTTGACTTTACAGTGGTACAAAGGCAATACACCAACAGGAGAAACAGTACTTTGAATTTTGATGTTTTCATGGGGTAAGTGACATGGTACAGCACTCTCTTCAGAAGCCAGGCAGCAGAAGCAGCAGTGAGCACCGCTCTCAACCATGGGACCACAAGAAGCAGCAACTATACAGTACGTAGTGTGGCTGAGCTATCATGTTTGCTTAGGTGTGTTAAATGCACTTTCAACTTCCAATATTTTCAATTTATTATGGGCTTATTGGGACATGACCCAAATGTAAATTGAGCAGCAATTTACAATGTATCTCTTTTATAAGTCTAACATTTTTATAAGTTTAAAAATCTTCATTTTTAGGGTCTCTGCCAGAGACAACATTTTCATTTGATGATATTCGGGGGGAAAAACATGAAGTTGACTAATTGTCAAGGACTGCTTCTCCAGTAACAAATCTCCCAGCTGTGAAATCCATTCACAGAATACACAAAATAAAACTTTTAAAAAATTGGGAAGAAAATATAAAAGAGTTGTTATAAACCTTCAGTAATTTTACTTTTTTTTTTTTTGGTAGCAAGATTGAACCTAAGGGTGCTTTACCACTGAGTCACATCCCCAGTCCTTTTTATTTACTTTGTGACAGGGTCTCACTAAGTTGCTGAGGCTGGCTTCAAATTTGTGCCTCAGCCTCTGGAGTAGCTGGGAATATAGCCAAGACCTATAATCTTGATTGCCTCTTCTTTCAGGCTCTACATAATGCAAAACAGGTCAGAAAATACTGAAATGAGGCATAAATGAAAGACAAGGAATTTGAGACCTGCTAATTGATTCTTTTTTAGTTTTTTAGTAACTCTCTTATTTAAAAAAAAAAATTTAATGGAAATGACCTCAAGCTAAAATTTCTATTTCTAACCTACAGCTATTAGGAATGAGTTCTGGGTGATTTTTTTTATTGCCTTCTTTTGTTTGTCCATAATTCTAGAGAACATATATTGCTTTCATCTTAAGGAGAGAATAATGCATAAAAGAATTTCTTCTGATGGTGATAACTTTTGAAGAGATGGATCAGTCACTACTTGAGCATACTGACTTTGGAAAGGGTGTGCTCCCATGGTGCCCTGGGAATACTTCTATTAATTACTAATTTTATTTCTGTTCATTTTTTCTGCACTTTGCCCTCATCCGTGTGCCTCTTGGAATGCAGGTGCTTCATCATTCCAGAATGCAATAAGTGGCTTGGCACATGAGATGTGATTTCAGAGAAAAGGAAAATAGCAAAGAGCATTCTGCAGTCGCTAAACGCCATTCTGTAATGGAGATGTAGACTGGGATACGATTTCATACAGCCTCAGCTTAGTGGTCAGTTGTTTTTCTTTGTAATGAGGAACTTAGCTGAAGACTGACTGCTAGTAGTTTTGGACTCCTACTAGATTCTCACTAAACACAGACAGCCTTGCTATGTATTTGGCTTAATGGAGCTGGCCAAAGTTGATATCAAACATTTAACCTTTTTCTTCCTGGGATCTTATGTGGGAGCTTCCTGAATTAACTAAATTACCTGCCAGAAGTAATTAAATTAGTAGCCTCTTTATTTAACTCTGTGGTGCCCACAGACACCATGTCAGTTTCATTTTAGGTATATCTCTGGACTGCTACACAGTAACTGGCTGAGGTTTCCAACAAATATTTGATGAATAGTCAGACCTTCAAGTCAACATTATTAATCACTAAGATTCCAGGAATACGGTAGACTAAATATTCTGAGAAACTCTTCTTATCACACAATAATGGATAAAATTTCTAAAAAGTGATTTTGTAACTTTTCCAGGCCAAAAACAACCATAAATCTTAAATGAGGAGGTTTAGTGGAGTACAGGAAGGTGACACCTGCCTGGAGGATATGCATCTATCCCTGGTGACCTAAGACCAGAGATTTCTGTATTTAGGATTCTGTATTCATTCAGTGAACTTGTACTTCATGCCTATTAGATGCCAGGCAATTGAATGAGACCATGATGTCCTTGCCCTCATACAGCTCACATTCCAAACCCAAACCCTCTCATACATGGGCCTGTCAAGTAGCAGTCACTGAATTCTATCTTGTTTGTCTTGCCTTGCTGGAACGTAAGCTCTAGGAGGGCGGATGATTTTTGTTTATCTTCAACAGCTTCACTGCACTATACCGAGGCATGACTGACATATAAAAAACTGTGCACATTTTAAAGTGCACAATTTTAAACCTCAGTACAATCAAAATAATGAACATAAATGTCACCCCCAAAAGTTTATTTATGTCTCTTTTTAAGTCCTTTCCAGACCTTCATCTGGCACCCCATTCCTAGGAACCACTGATCTGTTTTGTTATTATAGATTATATTTTCTAGACCATCAGAGGAACACAATTATATATATCTACTCATTTTTATCTAATGAGAGCTAAGAATTTATTGAGTTCCAAATGTCCCTTTGAGGTCAAGAAAGATGGGAAGTTGGACTAAAAATATCATCTTCCACAGGAAGAAAAGATTAACATTAAACAGATACATGAGGTGGGAGGGAAAGGGAGAGAAAAGGGAAATTGCATGGTAATGGAGGGAGACCCGCATGGTTATACAACATTACATATAAGAGGTTGTGAGGGGAATGGGAAAATAAACAAGGAGAGAAATGAATTACAGTAGATGGGGTAGAGAGAGAAGATGGGAGGGGAGGGGAGGGGAGATAGTACAGGATAGGAAAGGTAGCAGAATACAACAATTACTAATAGGGCATTATGTAAAAATGTAGATGTGTAACCGATGTGATTCTGCAATCTGTATTTGGGGTAAAATTGGGAGTTCAAAACCCACTTTAATCAAATGTATGAAATATGATATGTCAAGAGCTTTGTAATGTTTTGAACAACCAATTAAAAAAATTATAAAATTAAAAATTAAAAATAAATAAATAAATAAAAATATCATCTTCCCCAACCCTATCCCTGAAAATAAAGCCTGTAACTTCTAAAAGGTTGAGGAAATATTCTGCCAATGATTACCTGCAATCTGTACGGAACACTTCCACAAAGAATAACAACAGTCTTCTAGAATCTACATATTATTTGTGGAAAACCACAGAATCTTGATCACACAATATGTGCTACTGCCAACCCGAATATAATCTTTGTGATTACAATCTAAACTCAAGACAAGAGTCAGCTGTCATTCTTTTCAAGAACCCTTTCCCCAAGTCCTCATCAAAGTTAGCATCTTCATTGTACCCATGTACACATCTATAAAGTTTTCCTATGTGTACAATTTTATTATGGCTTTAAAAAAAATCTACCATGGATAAAGATAAAAACAGATCTAACAAACCAAAACATCTGATCACACAAGATTGTAGGGATATTTACTGGCTTTGGCCTTGCTTAAGGTGGAAGAGAAAAGGAGAAGAAAGATGTTCCTTATCAGTTTCATTCAAGTCCAGATACACCCAGGTTGGGAGACTTGAATTCATTTTATGTGTGCAGCTCAAAAAATTCCAAGCCAAAATATCAGGTAGACACAAAAAAGAAAGCCATCATGCTTTTACTAATATTAGATGAAATAGCTGCTGGGACATCACTATATACCATATCTACATATTAATATACACATCTATTCCCTAGGAATGTATAACAATTTTAAACTTATAGGGACCTAATAAACTTGTTTGAAAATGTGTAAATAAAATTTTTAAAAGCTACATAAAAATAGACTAATTTTAACATCAAGATGAATGAGCATTAAGTTATGCTACCAACAACAAAAACTTAGTTAAGTATATATCTGAATAACTCAGTTTGACCCAACAACTTTTGATAAAAATCTGAATCTAAATAACATAGCCATTCTTCTTTAATCAAAAATAGAAGGACATTTACAATAACCAACTACGTACTAGGCCACAAAAAGGTCTCAACCAATGTCAAAGGACTAATATTTCATAAACAACAATCTCTGATTATAACTGAAATGTTAGAAATAAAAAGTCCTTTAAAATATTCATATAGACAGGTAAAATACATTTGTAAATAAACCTAAGTAAAGAGAAATCATGCTGGAAGCCTAAAAAAGATTTAGTACTGGGGCTGGGGTTGTAGCTCAGTGGCAGAGTGCTTGCCTAGCATGTGTAAGGCACTGGGTTTGATTCTCAGACCACATATAAATAAATAAACTATTAAAAAAGTAAATACTATTACAAAAAACAGTACTGAACAACAGAAATTCTTAAAATCTCAAAATGTAGAAAATGTGGGACTTAGAAAAATTTATGGTCTTAAATTAGTATTTTAGAAAAGAGAAAGGGTAAAAATTAATCAAACTCTGCAATTTGGTGGGGGTTGAGTAAATGGATGGAGCCCAAACAAAAAGGGCAATATAAAAATGAGAGCAAAAGTGATTAAGCGGAAAATTGACAAAACAGAGAAGATCAACACAGTTCAAAAGTACTTCTTAAAACAGAAAAACTACATGAAATATTACATCTGAGACTGAAAAAAAGATAAGGCAAATCATTATATTCAGAGTAAAAAAGAATTATAGCTGTAGCAAAGATGATGAAACTTATGATAATATATGAATAACTTTATGCCAAAAAATATTTCAAAATGTGGGGGATATAAAAATTCCTAGGAAAAAGTTAATGACCAAAGCTGACTGTGAAAAAAATAGAAAATCTGGAATGGTTCAACAACTATTCAATAACTGAATTACTACTTTAAATTTTTCTCATATAGAAGACACAGGCCCACAATGGCTTCATAGTTTTGTTTGACCAAACAATAAAGGAACTGGTAATTAAGATGTTATACAAATTCTCAGAAAAGTGAAAGAGGAAAATATTTCAACTATTCCTTTTAGTAGTTTAGCATAACCAAAGCCATATAAATGAAAATTTCCAGGCCAATCTCATTCATGACCATAGATGCAAAAATCTTGAAAGTATTAATACTAGCAATGGTAAAAAAAAAAAATCTTGATCAAATTAAATTTAATTCATGAATTCAAGGGTAGTTCAACAATCTAAAATTTATAAATGGAATTTACCACATTACAGGATTCAAGAAGAAAAAACTTATACACATAATTATTTCAGTGAATGCAGATAATATGTCTGATAAAATTCAATGTCAATATCATTCATGAAGAAAATTCTTAATGTTAATATAAATGTTAAACGGTACATCTTTTATTGTATATTTATTATATTTATAATTTAGGTAGGACAGCATATGTGCAGGGATAGAAAAGTGAGTGACCAAATGAAACTCAAAAAGAGACTCCCCTTGTAACCCAAGTATTGACAGAGTTGCAATGTAAATCAGTAGGTAATGGAGGTCCTATTTTAAACAGTGGGACAACTAGTTATCTTTATGGGAAAAAGTGAAAATTTACCCTACCTGATACCATATCCTAAAATAATTTTTAGGTTAACAAATTCTATTTGACTACAGGTGGGAAAACAGGAATGGGTGATTAACTCTGATTGAGAGTCAAGTGTTTCATAACAGAGATGACCTTTGGTCTGTTCCTTGAAGTATAAAAAGGATTCTTTAGGAAAATTAATGTGAGAATAAGCTTCCAGGCTGAGAGAACCAAGTCACAGAAACTCCCAAGTGTGAGCAGCATGTTCTAGGAATGGACCAAACACTGGTCCAGCTGAATGGGAAAGAGAGATACAGACAAGGATGGCTGACTGGTCTTTTATACTATTTTTCTACCTATGTTTCCCCAGGTTTCTGGCCTTCGTCCTGGTGAGAACCAGCTATGTGCACAGGGAACAAATACTTACACAAAGCATCTACACTGACAGTTATCAAAAAACAAACATTTTTATTAGTTACAGCTCAAAAATGCAAGAAGAAACCATAAATATTTTTAGAAGCTTGAAAGGTTCAAGTTACCTTTTCCTTTTTTTCTGGAGTGTCTTGGTTCTGGATTTTGGCGATTTTGTTGCCCTTATTATGTATGTTAGGAATGACCTATGATCACAGAAAAAAAAAAAAAAAGGAGGGAGGAAAAAGAATAAGTTCAAATGCCAGCACATTACAGTTCTTACTGTGCTGTTACTGTTTTTCAATTTTATTGATTCTATAACATTAGGATTCATTTTGACAATTATAAATGCATGAAATATAATTTGCTTTAATTAGTCTCTAGTACTTAGCCTTACTCTCCCCTCCTCCTTGCCTCTGATCCCTTTCCTCTACTCTACTGATCCATGTATTATTTTTTTAAAAAATTAGTGTCTTGTGCATATACATAATGATGAGATTCACTGTGGTATATTCATATATGTTCATTGGAAAGTTAATCAGATTCATTCCACTATTTGTACCTTGTTCTGTCTTTTCTCCCTCTCCCTCAAATCTCCTTCTTCTCCCCTGATCTTTCTTTTATTTTGATGGAATTTCCTAACTCCATCTTCTTTATCTTCTCTTTCCTTTTCCCCCTTAATTTTAGACTACCTTCCACATATCAGAGAAAATATTTGTCCCTTCACTTTCTGAGTCTGGCTTCTTTCACTTAGAATTATAGTCTCCAGTTCCATCCATTTACCAGCTGTTGCTGTTGTTTTGTGGTGCTGAGGATATAACCCAGGGTCTTATGCAAGGTAAGCAAATGCACTATCACAGAGCCACAACCCCAGTCCTTCTTACTCTACTTCTTAAAACAACAAATACTTAATTAACTTCATGACTTCATCTAAAAGTAAAGATATGAGAAGTACAATTCTAAGCAAACAATAAAAGTTTGGAAGTTTGTCAAGATAAATGACCTCAAAATACTGTAAAATGTAGATAGATAGATATCAGGAATAAAAATTAAAAGGTTTGTGTGCATGGATCCAAAAGATAATAAAGAAGACTTCATTTCATTTTCCAAAGTAAAATCTGAATGCTGACCTAGGTGTTCTAAAAGGACCTAATATATAGTTGCATTCATTAAATGTTTACAAATAAATGAAGTTCAATTTTATAAAAAGATTTTAATTCTTAATGATGCCAACAACATAGACTACTTTTTGACTCATTTCTTTTTGTAAAACTAAGAAAAAATCTTAGAAAAATATAATATTTTTGGTTATTCTTTTAAAGCTCTTCAAATGGTTAATAGCAATAGTCACCCTGATGACAGACATGAAAATTAAAAAAAAAAAAAAAAATCACTCTGCTTTCTTGGAAAATTAAGAACTGCCTAAATGCCTATCTAGACAAAATTTAAAACAAAATAATCTACTTCTCTCTAATTGCAATTTTTTATATATATTTAATACATATTAAATATATATATATATATATATATATATATATATATATTTGTTTGTAGATAGACACAATACCTTTTTTATTATTATTTATTTTTATATGGTGCTGAGGATAGAACCTAGTGCTTCACATGTGCCAGGCAAACACTACCATGAGCCACAGCCCTCTAAATGCAATTTAAGATTAAATTTTCTTCACTTTTACTATGCTAAAGAAATAAATCAATTCAGAATGAATGAGAAAGTCTCAGGAATATTTAAGAAGAATATAATAGTAATGACTTGTTAGCATATAAGTCAGTGTTTCCTATCTGAACAGACACTATAATAGTGCTTAGTATTTATTTCTCTATTCAATGTATACAACAACCTAAATCAGAGATTGGCAGGTCTATAGAAATTCATTTCTTATCCTGAAAAAAATCTTAAAATAGAACAATGCTAGTCTACTTTTGTTTTTTGAATAGAGGAGAAATATTTCTGTATGCTTATTATTAAATTTAAATTGACAAAATGCTCACAAAAAGACTACAACTTTTGAGAAAATAGAAGACAGCATATTTCTTGTAAAAGTAAAAAAATATATATTTGTATGAGATTGATAATGCAAAACATGCATGTGCCAAAAAAACAGGTGCCATTATGGTATTAAGGAAGTACAACTGGACTATAAGAAGAAAATGATGATAAACTTAATGAGCTGAAATTAAACCCAATTCAAAAAATTTGTTTTGGAAATTTAAAAAAATGTGATGCAGTTATGTTATTAAGTAAAAAAATAATGTCTTGGCATATACACTTCCTGTAGAGGAGTACAATATAAGTCATGGGTTCTGCTCTCAAATAAGCATTTGCCAAGTAAATTCTAAACACATACAGAAATTTTTCCAACATGCTGAAAATACAGTTGAGAATTTACAGAGAGGTTTAAAAGGTACACATAAGATGATCACCACTCAATTCATAGTATCGTGAGAATTTTTATGTTACTATGGCACTTTTAGATATTGGGCCTTTGATGGGCATAACATTAGGAAATGACTTTTTAGGTTTTGAGGGAATTGTTCAAAATTTAATGCAAACGGGTCAAAATGATTAAGGTAGCCAGGCACAGTGGAATATGCCTGCAGACCCAACTACTCAGAAGGCTGAGGCACAAGCATCACTTGGGCCCAGGAGATCAGGGACAGCCTGGGCAACAACATTGTGAGAACCAATCCCAAAAATTAAACAACAACAACAACAAAAAAACAAAAAAAAAAACTAAGGCATTGCCTATATTTTTTATTCCTGGATGGTCTATATGACTTGCACCAATAATTAAGCCAAAAGAATCATTTTGCGAAGTATTAAACTTGGTTTGTTTCCTTGCCTCATTCAACAGGAATCCTTTTGTGCTAAAACCGAGTTAAAAATAGAACAAGTCATAGACATAGTTTTAACACCATCCATAGGATGTACTCCCTTGGCTGGGACCACAGACTACGGTTCAATGCTTGACGATCGGAGTGCACAGTGTGGCAGCCTGTTACAGCACACGGAGGGGAGAAGTGATGTGAGTGTAGCATGATGATTAAGAGGTTTTCTTTTTCTTTTCTTTCTTTTCTTTAACAATTGAAAGAAATAGCACTGTTCATGTCCTCCAAGCAAGAAATTTCCACTTCAGCTCACTAGCAAAGGCTGGATTGAAAACATGGCCTTTTTGGCTGACTCTATAACCTGTTTAAATGCTTTGAATATTTTTCAGTAGGGTATTCACACAGTTGGCCACATAAATGTACAATTTGATTGACTCATTTTTACTCAGAATTTATTTCTTGAGAAATGACATTTGGCAAAGAATAATCTGGCCAATTTTCCTATTGAATTCAGTTTCCAGAAATAAAAGTGATGGCCTCAACTACATTCTCAATAGTATAAGAGTTAAAAACTGAATTCCAAAAAACCTAATTAAATTTCAGATTTTATGAAAATGAGAGGACTTTATTCAGTTCACCCTCTCAGTTTGGATGGTGTAAGAACAGCACTAAGAATGGAAGGCTGTGTACTGTGGCGCAGCACCGAGCCGCTGATGGGAGAATGGGAGAAGGCCGAGGCCACTTCATACCAACAGGTTACAAGAATGCTGACCTACCCCATCAAAGCCTCCTGCTGGGGCAACCAACCATGTACCTGCCAGTTCAAAACGTTCAAAAGCATGAGACTATATTGAAAAGCAAATAATTTTTGTTAAATATGCAAAATTTTCTACTGTTCAGAAGTGCCAAATTTTGAACAACTGTTCTTCAGTTATAGGATTTAAGGATAACACATCTGCAGCACATTGCAATATAATATGATACAACCTGCCATTGACACTTTCATGTCAGAATTTCAATTCCATACCAGATAACTAATTACAGAAGAAAATTTTTAGAATCAAATTCTGTCTTTCTTTTTTTTTTTGGGGGGGGGGGGGGGGGGCGGGGTAGTGGTACTGGGGATTGAACCCAGGGGCCTCACCCATGTTCTACCACCAAACTACATCTCTGTCCTTTTTTATTTTATTTTATTTTTTTGAGACAAGGTCAAACTAAGTTGCCCAGACTGGCCTTGAACTTGTGATCCTCATATCTCAGCCTCCCGAGTCACATGTGCCACTGTGTCCAGCAGTACTGTCATTTTTTAATTCAAATTTCCAATAGAACATGCATCATTGTCAACATGTCTGCATTTTCATATACTTTAATAAATATATAGAACATTTGGTGGTATCTTTAGAATGTGTTTACACCTGACCTTCTCTATGTTCAAAGCATTTCATAAACAGAGTAACAGACTTAGAAAAGTGAAATAACTTGCCTTCAAGTTAGCAAAGCTGGTAAATAAGGAATTGAGAAACTAAAAACAGGTCTGTTTGCCACCAAAGCCTGTGACTAAGCTCAATGCACACTGTAAAAACTCAAATTTGACCAAGAGATCAAAATTGGGATGAAAAATGAAAATTGAAATTAATGACTAAATTTGTATAAAGCAAATACCTTTTTCTCAAAAATAATGTAGCTAAGTAACAAAGAAAACACTTATAAAATATTTGAAGGTAAAGCTTGATTAGAGAAAGAAAGAATATTATTAACCTTTTGGAAACAGAAACTAAAACTTACTCTCGGAGTAGGTGACAAGCTCTGAACCACGAACACCACGGGGTTCCCAGAGTTCTTAATGGCCTCAACTGCTTCATTGTGCGAGGCGTTCTGCAAATCTACTCCAGACACCTGAAACACAGTGAGTTAGTCTGACTGGAAAGGCATTAGACATCGTTGGTAAGTTAATTCAAAGTTCGTGTAAGTTGAGAACAGCCAGAGTCTATTGATTACACCACAGCCAGGAAAAAAAATAAGATTGGCCCACAAAATGCTTTGCCTTTTTTAGAAAAATAACACTTCAACTTCATGAAAATTAATATGACAAATACATTATTAACAACGGCCCTGGTTAAATATAATGATCCAAAATTGGTAGAGCATGGTACATAATTAATTCCCTTTGTATGGCAATTGTGAAATAAGTTATTGTGTATGATAGAACTTTAAGTTCTCACTCTTGTCATTAGCACAGTACACAATTCTGGGGGTGTGGCGATTGTGGAGAATCTCTTTCTGGACTTTTGCTATCTCACCATTAAACTGACAGGAATATTTTAAACCAACTGCCGATTATCACAATTGAGTAGTTGAATATTTTTCAAATTGTGTTAAAATAGAAGTACCCTAACAACATAGAACACTTTTAGTAAAAGAGCCTGTGTTCAATAAATTCGGGTAACTCTAAAGGGTTCCTTATTATAGAAAGTGGGGAAACCTAACTTGTTAACACAGTCTACGTACCTCCAAGAACACTATATTAAGCAAACATAGTTAACACTATCAATGTTAACGCTGTAAGGGGAGCAAGTTTTGGTCATTTTCTTCACTACCACATTATTATTGTGTTTAAGAAATGTATTTCACAAGCACAAATACAACTCGAACACTCCTCGTTCAAAAAATTCAAAATCTGAAACTCTGTAAAGCACTGATGGGTTACTGCAATTAGAAAACTCCATACCTAACTAAGCTCATGCAGCAGGTTACAATTACAAATGCACTAAAAATATTACATAAAATTACCTTCAGGTTTTGTGTGTAAGGTATAAATGAAACAAATGATTTTTGTGTTTAGGTTAGAGTCCCATCCCCAAGATAGTGCAGCATGTATTTGCAACTACTCCAAAACCTGAAAAAATCCGAACTCCAAAATACTTCTGCTCTCAAGCATTTCAGATAAGGAACACTCAATCTCCATAACCCCCGATTTGTCCACACAGAGCAAGTTGATGTAGTTCTTTGATTTAATCTTCATGATGATGTCAGTAGGTTTGAATTCTCAATTCCAATTTATTTGGAAACTAAGAATAAGGTGGGACTAATAATTTATTGGATTTTGACCCATGACCCCCAGGGCCCTTTGCATTCTACCAGAAACCATAAATCAAGGACAAGCAGATTCTTGGATGAGAGATACCAACTATAATGTCATCTAATAAATCTAGCACAAGGAAAATCACATTCCAATCCTATGACATCTCTTTGCTTTGATGTGCCTTTAAAATTTGGCCCCTCCAAAGCCCACCACACGTAGACCATGGATCCCCCCTTCCCTTGATGGAGGCTTCAACTTTGAAGGGTGGACTCCTTTCTCCAGGCAAGCACACATATTCCACTGAAACACAATTATAAACTTTAGAGCTCATTAAAGACTTGGGAGAAGCATAATGCTCACCATCTGCCCAATTCTATATAGAGCCCCTTTTTAAACTGTCATTTTCAATCAGCTGAGGGTTTTTGTTTTATCATATTATTTGTTCTTCTCTACACTTGAGAAACTCACAAATTGTAATACAACATCTGAACTAAGGCATATAAATAGAACAGACCAATTATATATACATGCACCGACACGTGAGGAAAGGTCTTCTAGCTACGATTCTTTTACTGTCTCAAATATGTTTCAAACAAAAACAATATTTTAGCATCATTTACCTCAAGGATTTTATCTCCAGTTTTAAGTGCATTTGTTTTTCCTGCTGGACTATCTTCTAGCACTTGTTTGATGAATATACCTTTAATTTCCTCTCCATTCTTCAGGCGTTTTATAACCGTTTGTCCACCAACAATACTGATACCAAGAGACACATTGGGTTCTCTAAAAATCTCAACACTACAACAAAAGAGAAAAATAAAATCCACTCATGAACAAGTTAATTTTTTGCACTGTAAACATTCAATGTATTCCATATTCTTGTGACTTGTTTTATAAAAATAAATTTTCCAAATATATTTTTACAAATGTTATAGGAATTGTACCTAGTTCCAAAATTACACGATGCTATCAATTTATGACAAGTGAAAGTTTATGTTCTAAAATAGATAGATCTCTAAAACATAAAAACAGCTCTTGAGGTTTAGAGAAGGTTTAGCTAGGCCTCAAAACTTCCATCTCCTATTACAATACGTTTTCTGTGATTAGTCCATCTCCTTTATATCCATTACATTAGCAGAGAATGGACTGAGAAAATGAGATGGGTTAAAACATCAAGAAAGTCACATATGCCATTTTAGTAAAAAGCTCAGACTTCTAGAATAAAATAAACTTATCACTGAGAGGTTCACAGCACAAAGTGCTACTCCAAATCAGAAGGTTAACCTTGTGGTTCTTCAAACATAACACAGATGTTATCTGCTCCTAAGGCCAGAAAGTTTTCTTTTCTTTCCACCACCATGTCATTTTAAAAAGAACATATGGAATAAAATTTGCCTTTGTAAATATTATGGATTTTGCTTAAACCATAGAGATATGACCAGTAATTAACTCATATAAAAACGGAACTCAAAAAACAGCTCCTAAGAGTTTTTAAGACAAAACTCAGAATTCAATTGCAAGAAAAGAACAGACGGGCTGGGTGGTGCTGGAAGAATTAATAATGCATAAAGAATGGAGAAAGCAGCTAAAGGAAGACTTTTACCTTCTTAAAATGTGGCCCTGGTGAGTACTTAAAACAATAACCATAATCAAGGGAAGATCAGTTTACACATTGTTAGTTCAAACAAGGCACAGAATTGAACTCCCCACCAGGGGAGGAAGGAAGAAAAACCTACAGCCATGGTCGCTGCTGTTTACATGAGGGCAGTGTCACCATATCTGAAACAGTGCCACCCAACCCACTGAAAGAGGCAGAATAAAGTACATTTAGTCCATTAGTTTCTACCATAAATGGATATTAAACTATTTCCTCTGAAAAAATATCAAAGATTTTCCTAATATTGGTCTTTTATTCTGGCTAAAATTACTAGATAAAACAAAATGAAACTAAAATTTAGGCCATCTTACATGTAAATTACCACAATTGTGCAATCATTAGAGTGTGACTAAATAATGCTCTATTAAGACAGAGGAGCATGCAGAGAATGTGCTTCTATACAGAACGCCAATAATATCACCCACATACATTCTTGGTGGACCCCAGTGGCTGAAGTTTGGTGTTTCTTCTCCTTCACCTTCTTCTCTCTCAGGTAACTCACTGAGGGGGAGAAAGGAAAAAAAAAAAAAAAAAACACAACTTTTAAGACGTACTCTTATTCTGAAAGGTTTGTGGAAAGTTTTGAAATTGCACAATCTATACTGTTTTAGTCTGCTTTTTCACTGCTGTGACTAAAACACCAGACCAAATCAATTGTAGAGCAGGAAAAGCTCATCTGCGGGCTCAATTTCAGAGGTCTCTGTCCATAGGAGGCTGGCTCCATTCCTTAGGGCTCTAGGTGAGGGAGAACATCATGCCAGAGAAGTGTGGCAGAGGGAAGCAGCTCACATGATGATCAGAAGGCAGAGACAGACTCCACTCACGAGATACAAAATATATACCCCAAAGCCACGCTCCCAATGTCTACCTCCTCCAGCCATATACTATCCACCTTCAGTTACCATTCAGTTAATCCCTATCAGGGATTAATTCACTGATTGGGTTAAGACTCTCACAACCCAAACATATCTCCTCTGAACCTCCTTCCATTGTCTTACACATGAACTTTTGGGGGATACCTCACATCCAAACCATAATTACTGCTAAATGGTTCTTAATTTTAAGCTGTATGTTTGTGTGTGCTACGGGGGATTGAATACAAGCCCTCACACATGGTAGGGAAGTTCTCTACCACCACCTCCAGTTTTTTTGAGATAGGGTCTTGCTAAGTTGCCCAGGCTGACCTCAAACTTGTAATCCTCCTGCCTCAGCCCCCCCATGTAGGCAGGATTACAGGCATGTACCACAATGCTCAGTCATTTTTATGCTTTCAGAATATTTCCATCAATAAATATACAAAAGAAACATATATTGTTTTAACATTCAACACAACAAATCCTCACATATAAGAAAACCATAGAATGATTATTGGTGACACTCTACATGTGATTTTTCTTTAAAAAAAACTGTTCAATTTGTACAATCTCACATTTGTTTATCAATAGGTAAAATGTTTCTTAAAACTTAGTATTACTTTGCAAGGGCTATGGGTTATTAATGGAAAAGCGGCATATAGAGGGCTACTAGGGTGCTGGTAAAGTCCTATTTCTTAATCTGGAAGCTGGTGATACAGATATGTTCACTTAACTAAAATATTTATTATTTATACATTTTTTCAGTATGCATTTCATACTTCAAAACACATATTTAAGATAGAGCACTAATCTCCAGAATATATAAAGAACTCAAAAAACTTACCATCAAAAAAATAAATAACCTGGGGCTGGGGTATGGGTCAGCGGCAGAGCGCTCACCTAGCACATATGAGGACCTGGGTTTGATCCTCAGCACCACATAAAAATAAATAAATAAACTAAAGGTATTGTTTCCAACCAACTACAACTAAAAAATAAATATTTAAAAAATAACCCAATCAGGGCAGGGGTTGTGGCTTAGTGGTAGAGTGCTCGCCTAGCACACACAAGGCACTGGATTCGGACCTCAGCACCACATAAATGTCAAATAAAGATATTGTGTCCATCTAAAATTAAAAAAAAAAAAAAACCCAATCAATAAATGGGCTAAGGAACTGAATAGACACTTCACAAAAGAAATACAATCGATTAACAAATATATGAAAAAATGTTCATCATCTCTAACAACTAGAGAAATGCAAATCAAAACTACTCTAAGAGGGACTGTGGTTGTGGCTCAGTGGTGGAGTGCTTATCTCACATGTGTGAGGCACTGGGGTTTGATCCTCAGCACCACATAAAAATGAATGGATAAAATAAAAGTAAGTGTCCATCTACAACTAAAAAGCATACTAAGATTTCATCTCATTCCAGTCAGAATGGCAATTATTAAGAATACAAGCAATAATAAGTGTTGGCAAGAATGTAGGGGGAAAGGTATTCTCATACATTGCTGGTAGGACTGCAAATTGGTGCAGCCATTATGAAAAGTGGTATGGAGATTCCTCAGAAAACTTGGAAAAGAACCACCATTTGACCCAGCTACCTCACTCCTCGATTTATACCCAAAGGACTTAAAATCAGCATACTACAGTGACACAGCCACATCAGAGTTTAGAGCAGCTCCATTCACAATAGCTGAACTATGGAACCAACCTAGATGCCCTTCAACAGATGAATGGATAGAGAAAATGTGGTACATATACACATGGAATATTACTCAGTTTTAAAGAAGAATGAAATTATGTTATTTGCAGGTAAATGGATGGAACTAGAGAATATCATGCTAAGTGAAAAAAGCCAATCCCAAAAAACCAAAGGCTGAATGTTTTCTCTTATAAACAGATGTTGATCCATGGGAGGTTTGTGGGGAGGTAGGGAAGAATGAAGGAATTTTGAGGGCTGAGGATATAGCTCAGTTGGAAGAACTTTGAGTTGAGGAGAGGGGTGGGATGGTGGGGATGGGAAGGACAGAAGAATGAGACAGACATTATTACCCTATATACCTTTATGATGAAAAGCCAAGTGGATAGTCCAATCAATATAAATGGACATAAACAGGTAAATATACCTCTTTCATAATCACATCCCTTTGTAAATCATTTTAACCTTAAATAATTCCCATTTTTGTATTCCATGAATATTGTGTAGTTTACAGAGAAATTTCGTAATTAAAAATCACATAGTTAAATTTATCTATTTGATACGCACATACTCCCAGCTACCACTCTCATATTTTCATCTGTCAAGTAAGGTCAGTACTGAACCGCTGAACTGGGTAACAAAAAATGCTGAATTACAGAGTAATTGGTTATAACAGAAATGTGATCTAACAGGCTATAAATATTATCTGAAGAAGAGTTGGGAGTCCTAAGTCAAGTCTAACCTGTTTCATGAAATGGATGTGTGACTTTACACTATAAAATAAAATAATGCCAGATACCATAAATAGTGTTAGCCTACACAAAAAAATATAGGCACTATCTCTTCTATTTTATTTTCATAAAAAAACCCTGAAGGAAGCACAGCTGGATGGATTATGTTGTTTTACACATGAGGAACTGAGGCTCAGAAAATGTTCAGGAATACCACATAATCTCATAAGCTTTGGACAAGTATCCAAATCTTTGTTTCAGCACATACTGTCAATGCTCCAATTTTCTCTGAACTTTCAAATCCTATTAAAAAATGGCAACACACTATCTACCTGCTGCTACACAGACTTTTTAGGAAATAATAGCCATAAGCCCACGTGGAAAGAAGCTGAATGATACAGATCATTCAAACATCAGTTTTGGGATCATTATGCCTCAGATACTCCTGGTTATTTCTTACCTTAGCCAGTCTAATTTTCATGAATTAAAGGATCATAATATTAGGATGGGGAAACACCTTGAAAGACATTTGCCAGTTACTTATCTAGTATCTTTTTCTCCCTTTTTCCTTACCAACATAACTTCTCCTTTATTTCAGGTAACACCATGCCCACCTTGGGAAAAGAATACAATTTCTGAATTCCTTCAGCTAAGGGAACAGTGTGCCATTCCCTGGTAAGCATGTGAAAAATGGAAGTCTCTGGACGAGGTTTCCAGGAAAAGCTCACTAGAGAGAGGATTGGCCGGCAAGAGCCTTCTGCTCTGTGCCTCCCCTTCCTCTTGTGTAGAATGTAGAGGTCCTAATGGGGAAGTGACCATCTTCAGATCCTGAAACAAAGAGGACTGATTTCATGTGGAGCAACGAGGAAGAGGGGGGAAAAAAAAGAGTTGAAGACCCTGACGGCAATAGCACAATATCACCTAAGAACACCTTCTGTGGCCCTTTTTACATGGGAAAAAAAAAAAATGAAGGCCCTGTTTGCTCAAGCCACACTATGTGGGTTTCTCTTTATGAGCAGCTGTCTGCAATTCCTAAACAACACACTCACAATTCCACAAATGTATGTGAATTGTAACTTGTCCTATCACGATTGGTCTTTACACGTGTAGGTGTATATATTCATTGGACAGTCTTAATCCTGGCATAAACTTTCATATTTTGATGATCTTCTCTAACAGTAACAAAGAATAAATGAGATACGATTAACATTTAACCGACTCTCAACCAATATTCATTCTCATTATAATTTTTTCACTTGAATTCATATAAAATATTTCCACCTTACCATAAATACATCATTTTTTTAAAATTTAGTACCATCTTAGTTCATGGTATTGATATAATTTAATGTATATGTCATTTCAATATATAATACACTTAGATTATGTCCTGTTTTTTGGAATATGGACATTACTGTAAAGAATATCTTCATGTCCTGCTGTATTCTAGAATTGAAGTCTCCTTTAAATAAATGTTAATTGAAGTGAAAATGAAAACTAAAACAACCTTAAACATCTTCTCCATTTTCCACTTTTCTTTTACACGGGGAAAGGAAAATAAACATTTTTACTATGGCACATTTATACTATCATAAAAATTAATTTCATCAATTAAAAAATCTAAAATAGAAGGGAAACTAAGCTTTAATAAATATTACAGGTTATTTGTTTTTCTAATTTAAATAGTAAAAACCAAAAAGTTTCTGAACAGCTGGCTCTCACACACAACATAAGGGAGTACAGGAACCACTCTGTCTCAAACATGAAAAATTGAGTTTTGATAAAGTATGTAACAAAAGGATTATTCTGCTCAAAGAGACTCACTAATTTTTTTCCACAGTTTACTGCCCGTCTTCAGGGAGTGTGTCTATACATATTTTATTCAGATTATTTCATACCTAAGGAGGGATGAAACTTGTGAAAATTTATCCATACAGTACAATTTGCTCTACAAGTGCAGTCATAACAGATGAGCAAGTATACACACTAAAGGAGTCAGTTAACATTAGTGAACTCAACTACCTTTCAACCTGAATTAACATTTAACTGAGAAAATAAAATACTTACACTGTACCCATTAAAATGCAAATCTACACAAACATTTGAAACATTAACAAGAGATTTCTAACCTCAATTTTTATAAACTGTATTGTAATTAAAGATGATAAATAGTCCTATCAGTTAAAAATCTCACATCTTAAAATAATGGAAC